TATATATATATATATGCATGATACTCCTTACTGATTGCCAGAAGAATGAAGTATGGCATTCCATCACATTCCCTGAATTTAAAAATTATCTGTCACACATTAAGAGAAAAATTATAACAAGTATTTGATTTGATTCAGATATGATTTGCACCCCCCCCCCCCTTCCTGCATAATTTTACCGCATTCTGTACATTTCTTTTTTTTTTCTTTTTGCACGCAGGCCCTTCATCCTATAGGCTACCGCCACCTACAATGAAATGTTTACAACCGTGGTGGTGGTGCAGTGGCATTGTCACGTTGTGCCCATGGAACAATATGTCGCAAAGACCGACACGGACCTGCGCGCTGTTTTGTGATGACATTCACCATTCTGCCTTCCAAGGACATCATCGCTCTCCCCTGTACCACCACCGCCACTCCCCCCACACGCATCCTTCATCCTTTAACGTGTCATTTCTCTCTTAGCATCTTGCTGATGATTTTTTTTTATTAGTATTATTTTTAAATGCCGCAATGAGACACTAGTGTTTGACCAGAGGAAGCGGTTCGGCCAGCTGAAGCCGGATAAATGAAGAAGCGGTGGATCACTGAATGCGCTCAGGGGCAGGCTCTGTGTGTGCGTGTGTGAGGAAGTGTCAGCTATTGCTTATACAGACCCTCTGGTGACGGGTTTGAAAAGTGGGGGAGGGAAGGGTTAAGCAGGTGTTTCTTCCAGTCCTTACCTAAAATCGCTATACGGGTGAATAATCCAGTACCCGGCCGTCTGGACCCGTTCCTGCTCCTTCTCCACGGCTTTCTGACTGCCGAACATACGCAAGGAGAACTTATTGACTCCGGGCTGCATCATCGCCCCAAACTGCCTCTGCATGAAACCATACTGCCTGGACGCCCCGTCCAAATCATCAAAGCCGACCATGGCCTCTTCCCGCTCCCCCTTGAAGCCCACGGAGTTGCCGTGGTCCTTCGTGTTCTGGCTCCCCGTGCTGTTCTTCTGTATCGAGTCTTGCCTTTGAAACACATTATTCCCGTCCGCCTTCTCCTCCTTATTGCTGGAAAACGAGTTGGATTTGTCTTCCATGGTGTTCGGGTTTCTGTGCGTGCGGGTGTGGGTGTGTGTGTGTGTGGTGAAGCGGGTCCGCCGCCTGCTCGCGAGGGCTGCGCCTTCAGCTGGAGAGGACCCGGCGCGAGCCCTGCTCTTTCTTCTTGATGTCCTTCAAACTGTTCTGCTCCTCTGTGTCTCCAACGCGAGTGCTGCAAACTGAGCCGGAGTGCACGGGAGCCCGCTGGATCAGGCTTTCTTGGGTTACCGCCATCTACCGACGGCCCCGGCTTTGTGTGCCGCGCACGGCGCGTGCCTCGTCTCTCACTCCGCGTGGCACTGCGGTTTCACTGCCACATGCTCCCGCTCCTTATTTACATAATCGAAATGTGCCCCCCCCGAAACCCTCCTCATGTTCTCACGTTATTCCCTCCTCCAGCATCCATCACACATAGGGAAAGGTCAACACAAGCAGATCACATGGGTGGCGTTTTAATCATTTTCTTATCTTTTCCCAACATAAGAAAAGCTGCTGTGTGATATTTTGGGAGCAGAGCATTTTATGCAAATCACCCATATAAAAGGTGCTCATTAAAAGTCACAAAACTGGATGAAAACACTTGGCACAAAAAGTAAGGACATTTGTGTTTGGTATACCAAACGCAAATAAAAAGAAAAAAAAAAGAAATAAAGAGAAATAATCTATAGATTATTTCTTTATTGTAACAATGGAAAATAAATCTTATACTTGGCACCTGACTGGAAGAACTTGCAGGTATAGCAGCTCAAGACAAATGCCAATAGCAACAACAAAATAAGGTGTTTGGCAGAGAAGATTGGGTAAATTTTTCATGTGCGCAGCTCACATACTCACTTCTGCTCAATGCATGATCCTTACAAATGTGGCACCATTTAACATGGAAATGAACAGGCTTTCTAATGTTAGATAGATAGATAGATAGATAGATAGATAGATAGATAGATAGATAGATAGATAGATAGATAGATAGATAGATAGATAGATAGATAGATAGA